TGAGGGAAATGGCGGAAAAGAGTGCACCAATTTGACAGTTCTGATTTCAGAATTGTATAACTTTCAAGTCATATCATGTATATTGGTTTATGATTTGGTACGCCTATTCATCTCGGATCTGAATGAATTGAATGTAGAATTACTGTTAAAAATTATTAAAAGTAAGAGATGTGTTACCTTTAACAGATTTAATTATCACGCTATTACTTATTATTAATTTGGTATTTTTGTGCAAGAAAGACAGCGGGTACCAGCTTAGGCAAGATGATCCATCAGTATTAAAGGAAATAATACAACTTGTCCATAATGAAACAAGCAAAAAAGATCCGAGGAGTTTAGGGTAAATGACACTCAAGTCATTTAAACGTTGAGCTACTTATTTACTTAGGTATTTATCGAAATAGATCGCGCACAAAATTCATGATAGAGACTATTGTGAGCCTTAAAAATAACAGACTGAAACAGCAATCAGCCGTAGCAAACACCGAAAGTTTGTTAAGGATGAAAAAATTTCTTTCAAACTTAGGGAAGAGGATTCAAGGTAAATATTTTATCATAAATAAAAGTTTTAAAGTAAATAAATCCTAAATCTCCTACTACTTTTTTTGCAACACAAAAGTTCGAGCCACTGAACCGCTAAGAGTAAGTCTAGATGACATTCGGTCGATAGAGACAAAAGGTATGATTAATTTAACATTACTAAAATATGGATTTGTAAAAAAGTTTAAATCAATATTTCTATCGAAGGTAAATGGTGGATCGTCGGTGCATCTTGGACCGCTAATATGATTGACCATCCATCCACATCTGCTACACCAAAGACGGAAAAGAATGAAGTCGCTTCGGACGCCTTGTTGAATCTGGCAAAGCAACAAAAAATGAACACTGAAGTACGCAGAAGTATCTTTGTGGTTTTGATGAGTAGTGAGGTAATTAAAAGGGATGATGAGCTTTTTTTTTTTTACGTTCTGAGGTGAAAATAATGTTTGATAATAATAAGTAATAATATTATTAGGATTATGTTGACGCGTTTGAAAGGCTTCTAAAACTTGGTTTGAAAGAAGTTCCAGCAAGGGAAATTCCACGTGTCTTACTTCACTGTTGCGGCAATGTATTCGAAATTTGATTCACTATATCTATTTGTAAAAGCTTAGTTCCTTTGTTCATTTCATTGTTTTTAATCCAAATAGGAAAAGATCCATAATCCTTATTACGCCCTCATTGCTCAACGGCTTTGCAATTATGACCATAGCTTTAAGATAACTTTTCAATATTGTCTGTGGGACTTTTTAAGAGAATGTGGTGAAGATGACATAGGTGGTATGGAACTAGTTAAGATTGCTCCGATAAAAAATAAAGAGTCAGAAAAGGTAGAATTAAGACGACTTGTTAATGTGAGTAAACTTTACGCAATGTTGTTGTCAAGTGGCGAATTGTCGGTAATAATATTAAAGGTATGCAAACTTTATAAATTATATTATGATTAATTTTGGAGATTACTTACGAATCGCGATTTCACGAATTATACAGACAGCATCATTTACTAAACTGCATCCTCAAAGTCGATTATTTTTCCAACTTCTTTTTTCAAACGTCATTATTTTAACTCAAACACAAAACGCGAGAAAACGCAATCCCCAAGTACTTGCACAGATATTTCTCAAGGCTTTGCCTAATCCTACGTTATCGCAAGGGATCTTATTTTTCCTTCATCATTTTGTGAAAAAAGGTGGAATTTTGAAAGACGAGAATGAAAAAGAAATAGTGAAATGGGGATGTGATGTTATTAAGCAGGCTATAAAGAAAAATGTGAATGTGAATGAAACGTTAAATTAGATAATTATTATTACCAAAATTTGAGACTTTGTAAATGTATTTTTAAATAAAAAAAAAAAGTATATTTATAATAAGAATTAATTATTAGAAAACTTAATCTGCTATATTCAAAATGTTTTACAGCGACAGCCGAAAAAAAATATATATCAGTCCCATGAGTTCAATTTTTATTAAAAGTCGCGGACATGTCGCAACATTCTGAACTAATGCTAATTGTTGTAGTATACTGTAAATCTTTCAAATTAAATTAATTTAGAATTGTCCAAATATTTCAATTAAGTTAACTTTACTGAAAGTGCTTATTTTTTTGCTATTCCACCACTGAAACTTTACCAAATCGCCACAAAGCCGCCACCAAAT